CCCGCACCCTTCAGTACTATCTCTAGCAGCACTCAAACAGGCCAAGTAGTGCATTGGAATGTACCCATTTATATGGTATTTTTCATTTAATGTCTCCAAATGTTTTGTTAACTGAAAGTCTGCAGCATCCAAAAACTGTCATTGAATATTAGACCAATCTTGTGGTTGATAAATGGAAAGAAACAAAAGTCAAAGTGCTTTGCCAAGGGTCACAGTTAATCCAAGACAGAATTCCTTGCTTCGGACCCTAGGAAAAAACATACCTACAAAGCATCCAAAAAATATCCAAATGCCCAGGAATGGGGAGACCACTTAATCCTTGCTAATACTTTTACAATTCACAAGGGGAAGATTTTTGCTTTGAAAATTATCTACCCGACCCTTCCTTGGGTAAACATAGAGGTGGTCAGTTAACAACTCAGAATTCTCCTTCTTCACAGTCTTCACAGGATTTCTAGCCCAAGTTCTTCCCAGTGACTCAAGTGAAATCTACTTTATTTTGCTTCAGTGTATTTATTACAGCATATACATATTTAGGATTCTACTCTGTTGTTAAAAAGCTATCACTGTATCTCAGAAAATCTGAGGTCTAATATTTGTGTAGAAATCCAAATGCATTTAAAATTGTTCCATTAACCTTTGAACTGTTATTAGACTAACATGAGCCCAGAACTACCTTTCTAAATATTTTTTCCACGATAAAGGGAAATAAATTCAAGTTATGTTCCATAAAAATCAACAATACAAGCTGGTAGAAGTGCTTCTGTGCTACAGTACTATCAGATACTATAAAATGACTTGATTTGCCTGTGTGGCAAAAGGAAAGTGGAAAGATGGGAGGCAGCCTATCTTAATTCAAAACCAGTAAAGCATTTAGGAAAATATCTGATTAATTTAAAATGCAGCAGGGAGATTAAAACCCCATCTCAGCAGGCTGATATTAACTCTACATCGCTTCAAGGAACAGAGCTCCCTTTATTCTACCATCAATTGCTTGGGGACAAAATATCAAGACAGGGAGAGTTATGGATCTTGATGTAACAACAAAGGGAATTGATTTTCAGAGCAGCTCTCCCCACGGGGGGTAAAGGACAAAATAGTGAATGATTTTAGCTACTAACGTGTCAGCTGCTGAGTAATGGTTGTCACCAAGTGCAGCTACAAGATACTCCGAGGGTTTGCCTTCCATCGGTCCCTTTAATTTAGATTGCTAGATGTAGAGATTTCTAACCTGATTGCTGTGTACGCCTTTCCCCACCACCACCACAATCTGCTCCAGACTCTTTATACACTTGTTGAATGCTCATTGTCATCCCTTTGGCCTGACCTGCCTGCAGGACAGACTCTCTTAAATCCTAACCTTTTGGGCTTTCACAACCTAAAAGCCACGTGACGGATCAGCCATGACAGCAGCTAATTCAAGAGCAAATTCTGCCTCTTAACTCAGTTATTCTTGTTTAAGAGCCATAAAATCAGGTTGCTACACACTGGTTCTAGGTTTCCATTTTTTTCTTGTCTCACAGACAGGATCAAAGGAGCATCCACAGCAGGAAAGCGATGCAACAGCGAGGGGAAGCCACATGACTCTCGGGTTGCATGCTTCAACAATGTCCAACGTATTCTCATCTGCATCGCAGGTCAGACTGAAGATACGGTCTTCTCGTGTTCCTTCTGGTTAAGCAACAAAACTCATGTGTATTTTGTCATTCAAATGATTTTTTGCAAATCCGAGATCACGTTCTCAGAAGCACATGTTTAATACCTTAGTCCTACCCAGTACAGAGATGAGCTGTTACAGTCTGAATCCAGGCACTGTGATGATTAAAGTTAGGACTTCAGCGATGACTTGGTCATACTCTACTACATTTGTGTACAACAGCATTGTTTGGTTATTGCAATATGTGCTCTATTTGGGCACAAATTATATCCACACCAAAGTGTTCATAGGAGACCATATTATACCATATGGTCTCTCTGTTTCATAGAACTGCTTGCACTAATGGTGGTTTCAGTATCTCTCTTGAATCCTTCTTGAAAATACAATGCAAATATAAAAAGGCAAATTGCTGCAGCAGAAAGTTACCATTCAGTATTTAAAAATGTCAGTTTAAAATAAGTTTAGCAGCACTCTTCCATTCAAACAGAACTGATGTAGATTTGCCTGGCTCCTCAAAGTTCACCATAATTCTCCTCAGCCAAACTAAAATTGGATAAGATACTTCATTAAGATGTTCTACAAAAATCCTATTTAAAAAAAACCCCAAAACTGTAATGGGAAAAAGATGCTATTCTTTCCTGCCAAACTCCACAAAAGCATATACAACATCACCTTCGTTCTCTCCCCTGCTCTCTTACATGCCCCCAGCATCACACCCACACACAAAGGACACTGTTACATCACTCCCTATTGCAAATCTTTTTGCTGCCCTCATTTCCTAGAGATTAACCATCAGGCAGCTCAAATCAGCTTTTGCCCACTGTACTAAAGGCAACACAGTCAAATGTTAAATGGCAAAGCACAAAAGCTTCTAAGGCATTTCATTTCAGAACTGCCCAAGGTGCACCAGGTACTGGAGATGCCTCAATTTACCTTAAGAAACAGAAAACAGAGTTACAAAAGTCACAGGCTAGATGATTTTTTTTCTTCACCATAGTTAATTTTGAGTCAAGGGTCGTGTCGGTACAAAAGGGAGATCCAGAGCCATGAATAACTGGATTTCATTTACTACTTTCTCCCCTCTGGCGTGCAGTTGGATGAACACCAACGGCAATGAAGCAGGTGGAAGGAACATTGGCTAGTGATGGAGACACCAATTCTTTTGCATGGCCTTTGCCCTGCCTTGGACTTGCAGCCTTAAAACCTGAAGGAGCATTGGTGGCCCTTTTTAAAGAAGCACCGAGCTCGGTTTCAGGGTTGTTAATGCAAAATGCTGAGTAGGAGAGAAAACTCCTCCTCAGCAGCCACAAACAAGCAGCCCTTTATCAAACAGCAGGAGCAGGCGGGATCTGGAGAAGCAGCCCCATTAAGAAAGTTGCAACTGCTACAGTTCATTCTCCCAAACGATCAATATTAAAATGCGTACACTTAAAAGCAGGAAGGAACTTGACGGAGAGTTTAACAAGCAAGCTGACAGAGGCACGACAGCTTCTACCCAGCACACCTCCATGGCTTGTTTGTAAGGCTGATGGCTCCATCTTTCTTTTTCAGCTATCCCGTTCGCTCATGAATTATGCAGAGTTGATTTAATAGACCTCAGCCTGCCAGGAAAGAGTGCTGGAGTGATAGTCCATCTCTTGGCAAACACCATCAGCCTGATCTCTCTACAGATGTTTTATTCAGAGAACTGCAAACGTACACTGTCCTGTAAAAACAGTGCAAATATCATAGATGGGACTCACAGAATGAGGCAGAACAAGGTGGGGGTCACTGAGGATGAGGAGGAGATCAGAGTCATAACCTTTATAGAAAAGGATGGAGATGAACCACCTCACTAAGGAGTCAATCAGTGCCTCCACGGAAGCCATGCTAATTGGTTTAAAGAAACAGCCATCCTTGCTCTGAAAGAGTTGGCAGTCAAGATAAAAGCAAGTTTGGGGGGTTATTTTTACTTGCATACAGGCCTGAAGCAGTAGCATTCGTTTCAGCCTGGGGCAACGTACAGAAAGAGTCTTGGACTTGTGCAAGCCAACAGCTGTAGGTCTATATCAAGCACCGTCTCCAGGATAGCAATATTCTGCTCAAGTGCTGGAATTCTGCTGCCAGGAATTGGGACTACGTGATGTTAGCCTGACCTCTCCAGAAGAAAAGCAAAGTGTTTCTTCCAGCTTATCGGGGCCAGGTATGGCACAGTACCTACATGTGAGACAAAGAACCTTTAGGCAGAAACTAGGATGTAGCACCAAGGCAGTCTCCATCACAAGGAATTTAGAAACATGGAAGATTTCCTCCCAAAGCATACTCTGACAGGCACATCACACATTCAGAGTAGACAAAGGCCAAAGTACAGAGCTTTCTAACTGAGCTTCCCTGAATTAAAAGGTAAAGGAAGAGGAGGACTGCTTCTGACTGGCACAATAAGTATATCGGGGTTCTAGCAACACTGCAGAGTTCACTCTTAATCTGACTTGATGGGGCCCTCTGGACACTTGAGAAAGGAAAATCCATAAAAAAAACCCCTAATCTCACCTTAGGTAGGCGCAAAAGTCTCTACAGTGAACAGATCTGTACTAGGAACGTGAGCACAGCTCAGCATCACAGAGAAAGAAACATTCTTCACGTGCACCAGGACAAGTCACATCGCAAGAGAGAGGGAAGACGGGAAAGGAGAGGCTGCAAGATCAAATTGTGCTGCAGGCTTTACTGGATGCCTTACAAAACACCAGGCTTTAGTCAAACATTTTGAACTGGTAACTGAAATTGTTCCTGTTACAGTTCAGATTCAACCAAGATTTCAAAACAACAACTCAGACTGAGTTAATTAACTCTCACTTTCAGTATGAAAAAAAAAAACAAACCAAGCAAACAATAATTAAAACCAGCTACAACCTGACTGGTTTTATCTCACTTGCTCTCCCTTTTACTTCAAAACTTAGAAAATGCGACACGAAAACCAATGAGACACAATGTTAGTTTCCCAAGATAATTTCTACAGCAATACGTTATTCTGAATAACCTAAAATGAACAAACCCCTCGTATTATTTAAGGAGATAAATGAATACCAAACTCATTAGCAGCCCAACAAGTATGTGCACAATAAAATAAACAGTCTCTTAGACTATAAGCAAACATGATGCAGGCTGTAGGTACAGCAAGTCAGCCAGCAACAGCACTGAGCTAGTGATCATACAGACCCTAGAAAAAAGTACTCAGCTGCTTACAGTCTAGATAGTCTCATCTTTTCCCAGTGGACATTTATTTCTTCCTAGACAGCCGCACACGCTATAAAAGAAATCTTAAAATCAACCTGCCCAAGAAACACAATCCTATCTTCAAACAAACCTTTTTTAGGATGGGGTTTTGGGGGTTCTGTAGCCACTGGCAATGAAGAAACCTGAAAAGACAGAAAAGAGGAGTATTAAATATACCAGGCAAGGTTTCTTGAAGATCTATTCCAGAAAATAATCAGAAAGGACAACTGGCAAATCCCCAAAGACGGCATAAAAATAGCATCACTGCTGCTAGACAAAATCTGCCCTGCCAAGCACTGCTCTTCCCTAGCCATAGCTAGGTAGAGATTCTGTTCACTGTGAGGATTAAATAAACGTACTCATTTTACAGTACATTCCTGTTCCGCAGGTTCGGTGCTATTTATTAGGATTCTAGAAAGTGATCATTACCTTGTAAAAAATCCCAAACTCAAGCATTTAAGACGCTAATTAGGGATCACACAGGAAAACGTTAAAAGCATTTCTTATAAAACATTTATAAAGTTAATTAGCACAAAGTCATTCCTGGAGAACCATCAGAGTCTGCAGGCACATGAGCACAGCAACGTCCCATTGCACAGCACGCCACACACCTCAACCTGCAAATATTGCCCAGAGTTCACGGACAAGCAGGTACCCAGTCCATGGAAAAAAAATTCATTTTATACTTTTTTCTTACTTGGCATCAAAAATCAAGCCTTCACAGAAGACAAACATAATTAGACAGGGAAGCATTTTTATTCTTGACTTTCAGTTTTTTGGGGAAGAGGCATTCCTCACTCCTCTTCTCCAGACACAACACAGGATTTTATAGACCTGTGTCACCTCCCCTCTCCTTAATAAACCATTTTTTAAAGTGGAGGTTCAGTCTACCCTTGTTCCTTGTAATGTTTTGGGAACATTTTCTCATTCTACTCTGTTTTTTTTATCGGAGGTGGGGAGGATCAGACATCCTGAGTACAGTATCTGAGACACGGAAAACAACCCAGATATATACAGGAAAGGCTTTTACCAGCTTTGTTTCTTAATAATTTCTAACATTTTATTAATAATTTTAATAATTAATAATTTCTAACATTTTATTCACTTTTCTGACTCCTATTGTGAAAATCTGACTTGATATTTTCACAGAATTACCCAACTCCAAGCACTTGTTCCTAAGCAGCAATAACCAGCACAAAGCCCCTCAGTTTTTTTATATATTTGCAATTTTTTTTAAATCTGTATACATCATTCTAATCCTAAATCCTACTGCTCAGCACTGTTAAGACTTTCCCGTAGCTTCTCCTATTTCCTCCTCACCTGAATAACTTTCTAGCCATCCTTTTGTCCAGATCATTTCTAGATACACCAAATAACACAGGCCTGGTACAGAAGCCTGCAGGGCTTCATTAACGACCATCTTCCACCACAAAAAAAAAGAGCACTTATTCCTTCTTTCTGCTCCTCACCTTTTAATCAGATATTTACCCATGAGAGGAATTTTTTTGCCTTATTCCAAGACCATTTATTTTCCTTAAGAGCACCTGATGATAAGAAATCAGGCTGCACGACACAGCGGAACAAGGGCAATTTTACAGGAGCACACGGGGAAAAGTGAGCCCTGACGGACGCTGAGAAAGGTTTAGGTTTCACTAGATTACCCCAATAAAAAACAGAATAAGGCTGAATTTCCATTCTGTCTTTGATACCAAGTGTGCAAAGATTAAAAACTCCCTCTTAACAGCATCTCCCGCCGCCCCCCGCCCCGGCCTCCCCTTCCTCCCCTCCGCCCCCCCCCAAGCCCCCAGCCCAGCCCAGCTCTCCCGGGGGCCCGTCCGGGCAGGGGGGAGGCCGTCGGCCCCTCACCGGTGCGGCCTGCGGCTCCGCCATCGCTCCAGCAGCGGGAAGAAGCGCCCCGTTACCACGGTTACCGACCGACACACCGCCCCCGGAAGCACTTCCGGGACAACCATAGAGGAGCGCGGCGCTGCGCCCGACGGGAAGGTGGCGGTGAGAGGACCCGGGACGCCCTGGTACCGCCGCGGCGTTTGTCATGAAAAACACCAACGTAACTAATGAAAGAATAAAATATAAGTTTATTAGGAAGGGTTTGGTCGCTTCCCCCGCGGTGTGAGAGGGAAGAAGGCCGTGAATGAGGTGGGATGCCCCAGCCGAGGGGCCTGGGGAGGGTCTCACACAGGCCGGGCCCCGCTGAACAGCCACAGACCCTCAGGAGGAGGGAGGGATGGGGTGGGTTGGGTTTTTTTTTTTCCTCCTTTACATTTTCCACAGAGGAGGCTGCAGAGCCTGTTAGCGGGGACAGTGTCACCACGGGCAGGTAATTGCAAGCCGGAGAGAAACATCAGCAGATTGCTCCCACGGAACTGGATTTTAACAATCATTATCTTAAGGTTTGCCAACAGCCATCAAGATCGAAGACACCACAGACCAGGTTTCCTTTGGGTTGGAGCCTGCCCCCATCCTTTGTAGGTTGTTTTGGGAACATGGGAGTAAAAACCCAACAGCAGCTAGGCTCCGTGCTTCCACTTGCCCGGCCCACCACACTCCAGCAGAGCACACATGGCTTTCACAAGCATTTTAATACATGGATGGGGAATTTTTGCAAGCCAAGGGGAAGCCCAAGTCACCACCACCTGCAATTACAGACTCAGAGCAGGCAGCACTGGTGATCCGCACCCAGCCCTGCTCCGTCCCAGCTTTTGGGAGCAGGGGCAGGAACAGCACAGGGGAAACGGCTGCGGTGCAGATACTCTTGCATGTGATATCCAAGGGCAAATAAGCCATGGTGGGGGGCAGGTGAAGGGGAAAGCACATACAGACGGACACAACTACAGCGCTGGAAGTGTCGGTATTTGTCAGTGAGGTATCTGAAGTGACTCGGGTGCCATCTGGAAACAGCATTTCACATTACAGACCTGGCTGTAATCGGCCTTTTTTCATTCACCCCTTTGCAAATTTATTCCCCCTTGAAGCTGGCAGATTGGAAGAAAGCTTTGAGGACACTAGCCTGGCGAAAAATACCACAGAAGGAGTTCCTATACAGGAGTAAATTTAATAAAACCACCACCAATTGTTTACTTTAACATAGCTCTTGTTACAGAAATCATAAAAATGGACTCAGTAGCTAACTCATTAGTTCTTTCCCCTTTTAATTGAAAAATACCCCGCTGATTTCAACTTCTACTGCACTAGATGGAGTGTTAAATAGTTCCTGGGACAGTATGCCCAGTAATTGAGCCCAAAACAAACACAAAGACAATTCCATCACCTTTCCTTTTCAATGTTACGACTCGTTATAATGTCAGTGAAACTTAAACAGCAAGGAACGGTCCATTTGACAGATGAAAGGGGGAGGGAGAGGAGATCCACAGCTGAAATCTTTCTATTAAGTCTTTTGAGAAGTGGTGCAAAATACCCCTCCTTTTCCTGCCTTGGAATTAAAAATAAAACTCTAAATACACACACACACCTCCTCTGGGTTCAGAGCACGTGTTCTGCACGTGCATGGATGGGAACAGCAGAGTTGGATTTGGGCAGGTATCAATCTGGGGCCAAAAAAAAAGGCAAAGCATCCTGAATCACAGCGTACATTGGTCACTAACGCAATGCACACAGGGTTACTGAGCATCAGGAGCTGCGCACGAGGGGATGGGTCCGTTGCCAGCAATGGATACACACACAAAACTGGAGGCTGTGGACATAAAGGAACTGCAGGAAGAGGAGAAACCCAACTTCTCTGGTAAAAGCCTTCCAAAAAACAAAAACAAAAACAAACAAACAAAACAAAAAAAACCCAAACACACCCCAAAAATATTCACTACACCAGCACACGCTTCCCCCACCCCATCCCAGGGAAAACAAAACAAAACAAAAAAAACAAACTGAAAGAAAATGCACAGCAAATAGACATAATCTTGAAGATTTTTAAAGAATAAATATTTTTTTTGTAATTAAACATTATGCAAACACGTGCCACGCTTGCTCTTTGTCCATGCATATGCGCTATATACAACTTTGAAAAATACTGTGTTGTCCTCTTTTTGTTTTAAAAGTCATATACAAAGGTTTTTTGTTTCCTTGCTGTGTACCCCCCCCCCCACCCTCCCCAAGAATCACCTTTACAATGAGCCAATCGACATTCATCCGTGTACTTGGGTGGCAGAGAGGAGGAGGGGAACGGGAGAGCCATCCCCCCCTTACCAAAGGTACATCAAAATGGCTGGTTTGGACATGAAAAGCAGTGTCAAGAAACTGGTTTAAATTTCATCTGTACTACACACAGGAAAAGAAAGATAGAAAAGAAAAAGGAGTTGGCTTGGAGAATGAAGCTACGTTACAAGTTAAAGTTGGAGGGTTTTTTTTTTTTTTAGTGCATCTGTCACACTCTTATTGGCCGCCTAGAATACTGTTGTACAATGGTTTATCTACCTTTTTTTTTATTACAATATAATTTACTTAAATTTTCTGTTAACAAAACAGAATCCCGGTACTACAGACCAGCGGTGTAACAGGCGTAGCGCCTTGTGTGTATTTGATTTGAATCGCATGAGCACTCTAGATGGCAAAGGTTTCAGAGTTCGTTTTATGCGGGGCCAGTCTCAGTCCTCAATGTACTCCCACAGGTCCTTCTCATAGCCTTCATGCACGTGCTGCAACAAAACCCTTCGTCGACTCTCGCAGTATCTGCAGCAAAGAGGAACAGCACAGAAAAGGCAGGTTAGGAACCACAGGCTCATCCCCAGCATCGAGTAATGCAAACCTACATTAAGCCTCACTTCCAAAAGAGGAGATCCCCCGAGAAGGGACTTTGGTTTTGTAGCCTATTAACAGTGCTAATTAAGACTTCAGTTACTCCAGTCACTCAACTCCAGGTCCCTGGCTGCAAAAAAACAGCATGCAACTTCAGAGTTTCTCATGTGAAAGTATCCCCAAAGCCCCTACAGCTGAGAAAACTCCATTAATAACTGAAAAAGGAAGAAGCAGCAGCTTCAATTTGCAAAAGCCAGGCATGGGTTAGCACTGACACCCAAAATGGGATGAAGCTCTCCTCAAACATGGGCTGGTGCCTACTCTGAGAACAACAAAAATCCAGGAGCTAGGTGGGCAAAAGCTCAGGAGCGCTGCCGACTCAGTTTTATTCCCCTCCAAAATCACAGTAGAGATGGAAGCGGTTGAGCTGTCTACAAAAAGGGTTACCGGTCTGGCTAGAGTGCAAGTTTTACCTCGCATTGAAACTCCTGGGTCTCAGAGGGGCACTACGCCCTGTGGGCTCTTTCCACCTACACTCATTTAAACAGATAAAGCTGCAAATAAAACTGATCCCAGAGTTAGGTACCGTCCTACCAGGATCAATGACACTGAGGAAAAGTGATATCATAGGAACATATCAAAAGATGCCTCATTCATTTCAGGTGCGTTAGCCAACTAAAAAGATATAAAAGCAGAGAAACATTTAAAGTATTCAGGTTCCAAGAGCAAATTATAAATAAGCAGCAGGCATTTCTGAATTAAACCCCTTCCAGCAGTGATGCAAAATCTACATTTTCTTTAGGCATGTGGGGGATAAGACCAAGTCTTGGTAACAGCTCCCAAGGCCCCAGGCACTGCTGTTTAACTGGTTCATGGTTTGGCAGTGCCCAGCCCAGAGAGGTGTGCTTTAACGTGAGAATCTGGAACCCAGGAGCCACCTGCCAAGTTAACGGTTCCTGCTGGGAATTGTGTGGTTCAGTTTCCAGGCACGCACATCAGCCAGGACAGCATCTGAGGGGCTCTCGCAGCTGGGAACCCGGCTTGCTCAGCAGTGGCCAAATATCCCTCTGCTCACTAAAGCAAAGTGCACAGGAGGAATCTCTCAGCAGGAGACCCTGGCAGAAAGCTATCCTTGGTGACAACACATGCTAACACACAGGCAGAAATTCCTCACCTTAACCTGCAGCCCTTATGCTGCTACCATTCAGTATCTGATCAGACTGACAGATCTGAATAAAACTGTTCTGGCTCTTCTCATTGCTATCAGCTGTTGCAACAGAAATCAGCGTATACAAAGTCCCATTGATTTTCTGAAGCATGTGATAGCAAACATGCACAGTTTCCACTTTCCCAACTTCAATTATTTTGCTGCTGGTGGTGGGGGTTTAATCCTGCTTTCTAGAAATGTCTTTGCAAGCTAGGAGATCAAAACAGCTGAAACCAAATTAGCTAGGAGGTCAGTTCCTGCAATTTTCCAGAGCTCTTTAAACCCACCTCGATAACCCTTGGTCCCAGTCTTGCATCGGTACACCGTAACCAGTACACAAAGAGCACTGTGCAGGACATGATTAAGACATGACTGAACTAGTTAATTAGAGACCTGCGCAGGCTTGACAGATGCATACTTTCTTCCCAGAAACATGAAGGTAGGTTTGGGATACTATGTTTTCAGGCAATTCAGGCTATATTAGGTTTTAATTTCTTCTGGATAGCTGTTACCATCCCTAGAAGAGCATCCAGTTTCAGAGGACTTAAGTGAACAAGCAGCTTGGTCTGACATACCAACTTAATGGTGGTCTTAAAGGGTAAGTTACAAAATGTCTCAAGAGTAGGTCATGGTCTTTGGCAGCATGGCTGGGACTGGATGACTACAACAGAATGGGCCACAGGCCCACCAAAGCTTAACAGCTACTTCTACTCCCCAGAGTCCCTTAGTCACTACAGCTCACCCTACTCCGGGTTCCTCTCCCACCCCCCCCAAGCTAGGCATAACAAATTCAGTGACTTTGGCAAAATGCCTCAAAAATGTAAGCCATAATCCTGTGACTCATCCACATTTACAGCTTTGTATTTTTCCACTGTGCAGAAGCAAATCCCCTGGGACTGTAAAAACCATTGGCATTCGTGTCACTTGAACCATAGTGGTTCTGCTCTCCTCCCCAGCTGGGCAGGTTGCTCTCCCTCTTCTTTAAGGACAGCTTTTCTACACCCACTTTTTGCACAAAGGGACCCAACAGATAAATAAGAGCTGATCGCTCTCTTACAGCAACTCATCCTAGGCCAAAGCTGTCAGCTTGGAACTACAGTCACTCCCTTGTTTTTTGTTCCTCACTGTGCAGGTCCCATCTCAGTCCTGGCCATTCCCACATGTGCCTTCTGTGCGGGAACAGCAGTATATGAAAAGCCACTGCTTTTGGTCACAAGATTTTTCCATTACGCGATTGAAACTTCTAACTATTGCTCAGCAGAGCAGATGCAAGGCAGAGTTGGGAGCCTCTCCCTGCAGACTGTCATCTCCCCCGAGGGCCGGTCCCAACAGGGGCACAAAACCACACTGCCGGTCCCAACAGGGGCACAAAACCACGCTGCCAGCATCTGCGTGAGGGCTTCACCACTGATGATTTCAGGGGCTGGCACAGGACACCGCTGCTGCTGTTCTCAGATGCCCAGGAACCAGCTGATCACAATGTATGGCAGAAGGCGAACAGCAAACAGCTTCCCAGGGACATGACTCTGGAGAAAACTGTAGCTTGGCAAGTACTCATGCCACTACCTGTCACACGGGATGGCAATATGGGTAGTCAGGCAGCTTTGAGATAGAGGATTATTCAGAAACAAACCTGTACTTATCCTGTACTTTCTGCTTTATGTCTTGCAGCGAATCTTGGGATATATCTCGCTCAAGGTACCCAGAAAGCACCTCTGTAGCATTCTCTAAGTCTGCTTGGTTATTCTGCAAAGAGAAAAAAACAAACAAAAAAAAAACCAAAAAAGAGAGTTTGGTGGGGGTGGAAGGAAGAGATTTTTTTTTCTTCAATCCAAGTAAAATCAGTAGTGAAATAAAAAGCAGGATTAGATATGCACCGTGTAACACTCTAGTAACCTGCTCTGAGCATCAAGATTGAAAAAGCTGAAATTTCTTCATTTGATCAGAAGAAAATCTGCATATCTACCAGCAAGTCTTATGTCTTCCTCGATCCGCAATATCCTGCAAGCCTAAAAAAAAAAAATCCTTTCCTTACTAGTGGTAGCAGTGCATAAAAGGCAATTCATCTCCCATTCTGTTCCTTGCTTATTTTTTTTTAAACCAGGATTGGCAAAGCCTCTACTGACTCCTGGTACATGCACAGCAGCATCAGAGCACAGCTTTCACTACTGCTCAGTAGTTCTGTGTGCCCCTTTGCTCAGCATGCAGCACAGAAGCATCCTGCTTAGGTTCTGCATGAAGACCAGCAAAGGACTGCTCTAAATTATAAGTAACAGTTTCGCTTGTGAGGCAGGTTGCACTTCGATGTTTAGACCTTCAACTGCAATTTTAATTGTAGTGCCCTTGGAAAAAAGCCAACATCAGGGAAAGTCAAAATGCCAGATTTAAGCTTTAATACCTTCTTTGCCTGTTCAGGACAGAACCTTGCTCCCTTTCTTGTTTCAGAGGGCAGCATCTTGTAACTCTACTTCCTCCTGCAGCAGACAATGCTACACAACGCCCAGCAGGGCCTCTAACTTTTGCACAACAGAATATTATGACAGACTCACTTTGGGGACACGAGCTTCTCCAAGCATTAAACCTCTATTTCACTTAGCTTTGTAATCTGAGCTCCTGACAACCACGTTTTCTCCTACCTCAAAGATAATGGACTGATTATTCTTTTTGAGGTAGAAGGCAAAGACGTAAGTGTACATGAGTGTGGCACGACACTGGCAGAGGACGTCAACTGCTTTCTTCAGGAACTGCACCTCGATCCACGACATGTTGTGCTGCTGCATCTCCTCCATTTTCTGCTTCACCTGAGCATAGAGCTTGTGCTCAAAGCGCAGGCTCTGCATGTGGTTCATATAACGGTTGCAGTAGAACAGGTACCTCTGCAGGGCTGCTCTGGATCGCTGTGTTAATTCCCATTAGGGAAAAAGAAAACAAATAGTTAAAACAAAGTAATGTCTGCAAGAGAAGTAAACCCATCACAAGGTTCTTCCTGACCCTGAGAACGAGCTTCCTTTCCAAAGGTGTTTCCTCTCCTCTCATGTTGGCCAGACTTAAATGGCGCTGCTTTGTGCGGCACTGTTAACCCTGACATTGTGTGGAAACAAGAGGCCAGACCCACGGCAGCTCACTGTCATGCAGGGGACTTCCTAGCACAGCTACAACATCCTCACTCCCAAGCTTGAAAGTTTTTAGAACCCTACTGCTAAAGCCTGATCGGTCTCCAATTTCAGCCTCTCAATTCAAGCTACAGGACTTAAATGCTTCCAGTATCATGACAAACAGTGAGAAACAGATTTTTGGGGGGGGTTTTTTTGGCTAATAAGGAATTCTAATCAAGCAATTACTGTGCTTGTGTTAAGGGGGCAACCTTAGGTTGCCTAGGCCATATTGATTATAGAGCAGAAGAAAGAAACCATGTGCTAAGTAGTACAAGAGAACCAAGATGACTAAATATACAGCCATTAATCTTATTTTCTTCTCACTGACAGATCAGTTGTAAGGAAATGACAACATGGGCATGGTTAAAGTTGTATGCTGTGGATGTACAAAGGTAGCACATATCAGCCAAAGTCACCCCTATCTGCAGGAGGAGGGGCTGCAGGAAATACTTCAGTTCTTGGCTGTGACAGTACTTCAACAGAGATGCAGGAAATGGATTTCTGCAAGCTGCAGCACACAGCATGCGATCCCTCCCCATTAAAGAGATTTTGGCTCTATTCATATTCACAAAACAGTTCAATGCTGTTGCAACTTTACCCGCAATTTCTTTTATGTCAAGCCTCCAAGTACAGTTATTGGAACAACAGCAGTCTATTTTATTTACATTCGAAAGGTCTGCTGTGTTTAAATACCTCAGAATCCATATTAAGAATTTTGTAGTAAAGAGCATTCTACAAAGCACATGAGGATTGTTGTCTCAGACCAACAGCATTACGATGACTTCATGTGAAGAGCTGCTAGAAAACAGGCAAGGCAGCATGACAGACAACTGAGTTAAGATGTTCTTTAAATTGGGTTAAAGTGGCTTTGAACATTTTGGGTTTGTTTTGTTTTGTTTCCTGGCATGAAGCAAGAGTCCAAAGCTGCGGGTGAACTTGTCCCAAATCCAGGAAATTCTTCAGAGCAGATTTATAGGTTTACAGAAAGCAAGCCACAGGGTTGGTGATCTCCCTTATCACCAAAGGTTATGGACTCACCTCCTGTGCATCCCTTGCTGCCTTTGCATCATCCTCATTGTAGCGATTACAGTTGTACCTGTAACAGGGACACCGATTCCACATATTTGAGTCCAAATCGATGCTGTTTGCATCACGGCTTCCTTGCCTTCCAGCAAGGCACACTCCTGAACTCACCAGGCAGATCCATGGGGCTCCCAGGGGCCCAGACACACCCAGCAGAACTCCGCTTTGCAGTTCTGGTTCCGACAGACCATATGGTTGCAGCCCCCATCCTTCTCGATGGTGACGTGGCATTTTGGGCATTCCTATTCACCGGACAGAGAGCACTGTTAGCAGGGAAAGCACAGAACCCACAACAGTCTTGTGAAGTTAGAAGGGTTCCCGTGGCAGTAAGAGATAGCATGTCAAGTGAAATGCATGATTTACTTCTTCCCTTTGATCATCGAGATCCTCTTCCAAGTCAGGCCTTAAAATATTTCCAAAATCGGAGCAGTTAGATAGCAAAAAACCCTAAGGAATAACACATTTTACCTATGCTGCTATCACAGTGGTACACTGGATGGGTAATTTCATGACTTTCTCCAAAATCACAGCAGTAGTGATGGTCTGTAACAGCCCAGGGGAAAGCATCTGGCTTTCCTCACCATTAAGTGTTTGGTCCACTTCAGCACTCAAACTGAAAAAAGCTTAATGGTGAGCTGATATCATGCTGCTATCAATCCAAGACACCTGCAGTTGTAAAATGCCATCCAAAAAGTATCTGAAAACGTGCAGCAAGTATCTATCATGCTTCAAAGAAGCTTCTGTCAGCTAAAAAGACACTTCTCCTCCTGGGGCATTTCCACATTTCCCATCAGGTTCCTTTTCCCCCCTCCCTTCGTGTGACACCTCACTGAAGTCTCTTCTACAAAAGCCCACATGGGGCTTCCCTTTCAGGTGTGAGGCCTTTGACAAATACAAGAACATCAAAAAGTAGCACTGCACAGGAAAATCTTTGGGGAATAGGGTTTTTTTTAATAACACTGATATTCTCATACATCAGCAGCAAATGGCCACTTCCTAAAATGATATTCAACTCATGTAGAGCATAAAAGATTATTTCTGTAGTATCCCAATAAGTACACAAAGCCAAGGTTGCAAGAATATACTAAGCTGCCTCTACGAGCAAAGGAAACCAGTCCAACTCTCTTCCGCCACTTGTTCCTGTCCCCGTGGCACTTCTCTTATGCCAGGACACAATGCAGCTGCACAAGAGCTGGGCTAACGAATGCATCAGGTTAAAATCAAGCAGCAAGTACAAAGCAAAAAGCCCCAGAAATAAAACAAAAGCATTTTTTTCTGGATCAGTTCCGCAGTCCAGCTCATCATACAACCACACCAGCATTTATGAAGTTTTTGCAGAAGCCAGTTTTATCTACAAGGCAATAACAAACATACCCAAACAAATAATGCACACTCATGTACAATCAGCTGCAGTGTTTGGATCAGAAGCGTATAAAATCCACTCCCCAGTTAGGAACATGTCTTTGCTGTTTGCTAACCAGAGCAACCATTTCCTATTCTGGCATTCAGACAAACTCTCAATAAAGGAACATGTTCAGTCTATAGCTGCTACTTTTATGTAGGACAATCCAACACATTCTTGTACATCCACTCCAAGTGTCCCAACTACGACTACATTTTCATATGAATTTGCCTATTTGTATTTTAAGAGACAGGAGAATTTGCACACCGACGTACTCAGAAGATAGCTCAGAAGGTGCAAAAGACCAATGTAGTCTCCAGATGTCAGACATGGTGCTTCCCACTGCAGGGAGGGAAGTTTGCAGTAAGGCAAAGCAGGTTACAAGGGAAAAGACACAAGGGGGAAGAAGACATGAGGGACTGCAACTTCTTTTCGGCCAACATAATTGAAGTGCTTTCAGCTAGTTTTGCTTCCTGATGATTGCAGCTTTGTAGACCTGAGCACTAATGAAAAATAAGGCTCATTACAGCAGCTTGCCCTAACTTTGAGGTTAACCTTGCTTTGAGCTGGGGGCCAAACAAGACGACATTCCCTTTCAACCTAAATCATGTCATGATTCTGGTCTCCACAGCAATGGCAGAGCACTCCACTTTGAGTACTGCCATCATTTCTTCCTCATCAAAGTCCTGCTTTGGACCTACTGCCTGATCCTGAAGGGGAAGGGTTAAGGACTGGGCAGAAACAAGCAACACCTCACACAACCAGCAAGGTTTTCATGAGCCATTCCTTTGAAAGGAGATGCTATTACAGCACCTGTTTGGAGAGCGCTGCTCTCCTGTTCAGCCAAGAAGGGCAGCATTCCCATACTATCAACAGGTCACAACTAGGGCTTAGCCTGAATAAGAGGACAAAGCTCAGTTTCTAACCAGAAGACCAAGCTTATCGTGTAAGTAAAAAGATCCCTCAGATTTGGGGAACTACTCCAGTAGTTTGAGGAATGTTTCTTTCTGCAGTTGCACCTCTCCTCCCATCCTCATGCTCTGTCAGTACACTGCATGCTAGCCAGCTGCTTATTTGTTTTGGTTCAGGTTTTTGGGGGCTGGTTGTTACTCTGATAGGTTCAAGCAGCAAGCAAGCACATAAGGGGATTTTTCCAGACCTGCTTTCATCCCCATCACCTGTGTTTGTCCTACAGACAGAGTAACCATACTACAGAGTAAATGAAGCACAGTAGCTCCCTTGCTGGCCCTCTCAGAGGGACAACCTCAAGATGTCCTTTTGGGCTGTCCATAGGATGGATACTCAGCCATGTAAGCTTGTTCCCAATGAGTCAGTCAATGCAGTTCTGTGAACTTCGGAGTCAGAAACGGTCTCTCCTTTGAGCACAGTACCCAGTGCAGTATCTATTTTCCTTTTCAGGCAGCCCTCCTCCCTCTTCCAATCCTGCACCAACACCTCAGGACCCAAATTTAGGCTTAATCTATCAACATCCTTCACAACTGTGAGGATCCCTGCTCAATCTGCTCATCAGCCATGGTGCACTTTGCTAGTATGTACGAACAGTGGCACTGCACCCCTGCCACATCATGACACAGCTCCCCTGTCACTCAAACGCTGACCCTGGGGCACACAACGATGAATGGTCTTTCAAGAGAAGATGGTGGTCGCAGAGCTGTGCAGTTTCTTCCAAACACATCTCATCTGATGAGATGCTGACATCTGCATGCCACAGTGGAAGAGACAGCTAATCCAAACAGCTGCAGTGATCACCCCTGCTTAGAAAAATCCCACAACTGGAAGAAGAGGGAAACAGTTCCCAGATGACCTGCCAAGCTGGAGAGGTGCAGTGGGGCACGTCCACACCACCAGGATGCAGGGCCATCCTCACCCACAGCTAGGCTCAATTAGGAGCACTAAAATTCTGCTCTCTTGTCTTTTGAGGATGAGACCAAGCTCCTCAGTGCCTCTATAGTGCACGGTGCTTAGGGCTTCTAGCCCTGTGATGCAATCTAGAACACAAAGACCCTAATTATAGCCCTTTTATTACAGAGAATGCCATCCTTTTCAAGCCTTTATATGCCTGTCAAGCAAAGCACAAGGAAGACAGATTACACAGTAAACTATACAGATCCATGAAGTTGTGTAAAAGTTGAATATTATTAAAAATTAAGGAAAAGCCATGAGAAAAACATACTAAAGAAATGCTGAACACCAGCGGAAAGAAAAAAGCAGCAACTACAAGCCACCAACGCAGCGAGTGCGAGAGATTTATAGATTAAGGAGGATAGGAGGGAAGATCTTATTGAGAATTACAGCTACGCAACAACATAATAGCCAGCAAATCAAATCACTAAGCCAGTAGATTATTCTGCACATTATCCATTATGCTGTGATGCAGAGGTGACCTCATTAACATTGTTCCACTCTAAACAAATCTGCCTTGTGCTTACGTGCTGCACTTTGAAACAAAAGCCCAGGCAAACCTGGCAAAAGGAGAACAGTAACTATTTTGTCATAAAAGGCTGCATGTACATAAAACACCATAAACCTCAGGTGCTGTTTTATGAACAGGAGGCTAAACAGAAATTTATTTTGTATTTCAGGGCAGGTGAAACAGATTAGTCCTCTCCGGAACTCCCGGAGGTAACTGGTGTGCATCAGCCTCCCAGCCACGTTCACAGCAACGCCTTCACCTATAAAGCATCCTATTTAAAAAAAAAAAAAAAAAAAAAAAAGAAAAAAGACGACCTTCAAACACCACAGGGATTTCTTAATGCATTTCAATTAAAAAAATGCTGAACTTAATTACCGTTAGCACAAAACAGTACACCATGACAACACCTAGAGTCATTGAGCAAAGCAGGGTATTTTAAATATTTGCTCATCTGAAAGGAAAAGATGGCACTTTGACATCTTAGGAAAGATGCTGTTCACAGCTCTGGCACGAAACTGCACTGGTGAGAAATGAAAGACCAAAGTTCAACGCTGGTGCCCAGGGAGTATCTAGCGGGCTGCCAGAATTTCCACGCGTTAGAACAAATGTAGGACTTCCAGAATGTACAGAGGGAGCACATGTTCAGAGTGACCTGAAAAGGAACAGAACTGGGTTTGTGCCATTTTATCTCACTTAGAGGAGAAAAATGGCCAATAGCTTTTTTGGAGGGAGAAAATCTGCCTGTTTTATACATCAGACATTCAAGCCCTGTCTAGCCCAGAAGATAATGAGATGGTGACATGCCAGGAGCCAAAAGCTGTAAGGCAGGGGCATTTTTAGTATCAGATGAACAACTTTCATTAACACTAATTTAACTTCAACACACACAAAAAAACCCCACCAAACAGTGCCTTGGGTGAAGACTGGCACCGTTAGCATCTTTGTTCTTCTTCCTTTAATATTTTAAGATGAAGAAAGATTAACATCACTGAAACTCAGGTTTGAAACAGGTTTCCCCTCCTCCTTTTAGGCTCCTTTCAGACAGCCTTGATATACCTTAAGAGGTCAAAATAAATGCACAAACCCAAGTTTTCTGTATTTCTTACTCCTTTGAATGTCCACTTAAAAAAAGTAATGGATCTATGTGGTTTCTTTATTCCCAAAGCCACACAAACCAAATACCTAAAATTTGCCTAGTTTAATTCAAGAAAGGAGTTATTTAAGAACCAAGTTTGTACAACAAACTGAAAAAGAAAGAAATGTGCAAAACCTTGACTATTCAACCCTTCTCTGCAAGACAACTGAGAATTAAAGGCTTGATAAAGAACTTGTATTGGCTTATCTCAAATATAAATTGATTTAGTTAAACTGAACTCATATGTGAAAGTAGCTTATTTTAACTAAAAGGCCATCTACTCCAGCACACTCTGCTGCAAGGGCTGTACCTTTTGTATAAGTAGAGAGATTTTAGTGCAGGTCTCCTAAGTGCAAATAAATGAATGCAAAATAAAAAAAGTTATATAGGAAACCACAGAATTCACTACTCAAATCTCCTCTTTTTCATTCAGACCATTCTACATAATTCATCAAAAAATGCATCACATAACTCCAGTTTGTGAGCACAAACCAATTCAGCTGGGTTTTACTTTTCTATTCTCTCATACAACAATTGCCTAATTTTCCTTTCCTATTCTGTGTCCCAGGGCAAGCTGGAACAAATACATCTCACATTCTCCTGTTGCAAAGGATTACCCAGATTTCAAGCCCACATTCCAGGAGGACTGGTATTTTCCTCTTATACCTTCATCTTGGTAAGACAGGAAGTTTTCTTCCCCGAATGGAGACCACATGGGACAGGACTGCAGCTCAGCATCACACTTGGAGGACTTGAGAAAGCACTTTTCAAAAGCTAGAAACAGCAACGGAGACCATAGTAACAACTGAATTACTTGGAGAGTTTTTCCCCCACTGAAAATGGGGATTTTTGCATCTGATGGTACCTGATCAGATTCCTGTCTAGGTTCTTCAAAATGAAGACATTCAACACAGAATTTGGGCTCTGACTTGCAGTCACTGAAGCAAACAGCTGTGAAGGCACAAGATATCCCTCCACAAACACAACTGCCCTATTTTCCTGCTAGAAATAGTACAGAGACAGAATAAGGATAGATGTATACACACTCCAACTGTGTGATTCCTATCCCAATGTATTGCTACAACCTCATGCTACAGCAGGAAAGGATTTTACCTGGTTCCTCTCTGAACAGCAGCAGGACTGTGCCACTGTTAAGACAGGCACTTGGGTTTCTCCATGCCTTTGGCCAAGGGCCAGCAGGCAGTTCAGGCAAGAGGAGGTGGTGGCTGGCAGCCCCGTGGCGCTGGGCTGATCTGGTTCTCCGGAGGCTGCAAAGCTCCGATTGCACATGTTCCAGCAGCCAGCACTGCTCGTGCTTCATCATTATAGCAGTGTGAAATTACCACCTTCCACATCTTGCTGCCCGCAAGAAGGCAGAGATCATTACGAGGGGTGGGTTACGTTTCCTGCCAACCTTCCCCTAATTGAGTCTAGTGTCAGTTTGGAGAGAGAAGAATTGCAATATTGTCCTTCAGTTAATTCAGTTGATATGGATACCATAAGACTCCAGGACAGCTGGCTTTTTCAAATGTCTGGTGTAATTACCCTGATGTTATTTTTCTTCCTGTTGCTGCTGTACAGCCTGGGCTCCAAAGTATTTCCTTGCTGTAGGAGCATCTTGTACAGTGTTAGAGGAAGTAGCTTAGACTGTGATGTTCAAGGACAACAGCTCTTCTGCTGCTGACACCAGACTACAGGAACTAACAGATAAGCTGGGCTGATGCTAGCATGGCTTGGCCATACTCATTTCCCCTCCTCACCATCCTCTGTGTGGGTGTTTCCCACAAAAAAATCTTCTTACTCCAGCCATTCAATACTATTTCTGACAGTCTGAGCTATGCTTTAAATACCAGCCCAACCACTAGCATGGCTCCTACCTGACAAAGTCTAGATCCTGGTTAAAAAAAAAAGGAGGACCAACTTTATAATCTTTGTCTATGCTTAAGTCTTTGGGCAAGCAAGCTGCAAAAACAGTCATCATCCTGTCTGAAAAACAGACAAGTAACTTCCTATTTCCAGTGGCCAGCATTAGTGGCACATAATTCATGTTTGATCTACATAATAAATACTTGTGTATAATTTCAGCCTTTTTAATGGGCACAGAATACAGTAAGGGAAAGTTTAACATTTGATCGTAACAAAAGCCAGCAAGGAGAGCTCAGATCCTGGTCTTTAGCAGCACATGCCAAGGTAGGGGCAGGTAGAAGATGGGGACCCCCAAGGCCATGACCAAGATCACACACCTGAGGGGCAGCAGCAGCTCCTCGTCTGGGTCCCGAGGGCTATGTCACAGGCAAAATAGGGCTGTGGCCATTCTGACATCCCAAATATTTGATACCCAAGGCTAAAAGCTGCTTTGCATGTGCTTACACTCTGCCCTTTCCAAGCTATTTGGCTACTCTTCCTCAGGTTTAATACAAGCAATACCTGAAGACCAGGAAAAGTTTGAACAAATCTGGTTCAGTTCTTGAGCCACAATATATCTTTGAACACACCCACCTCAGAAAAAGCCAAGTTCACTTTATTGAGCAACGTTCAGCCTCCAAGCAGGGACCACACAAGTCTCAGCCCACAAAACAGAAAGAAGCAGCCGAGACTGCACAATTTCAGCCTGTTTTGAACTGTACATTTGAGCATGATGGGTGTTTCTGCTTTCACCATAACACAACATTCCAGTTCAATGAAAAACACGCAGCCAGCCCCAGAAAGAAGCAGCCACTGCTGCAAACAATACCATTAACCAGTTACACAACAGAGCTAAGAAAACAAAGCAGCCATTTCCTCACACCCTCCCCACCTTCTTCCACCCTCCTGGCTCAGCAGTTCTGAGACCCAGGTCTGCTCCTAATCCCCCCGATCGCATCTGCTGCTTTTGTTTTCTTGCCACCATGCCAACTTTTGTTTTAATTTGTCCCAAACAGAATGAATGCTGAAGTTTCCAGCAAAGTTGGGCTAGCTAGAACGAAGACATTTACATACTAAAATCTTAACAGCTGTTCTGCCAGTCTCTATCTGGAATCCTGCCCAGCGGAAATGAATAACTCCTCAAGAGGCCAACCCAGGGGATTTAAAGGCAGATGTAAATTATCACAGCCAAACCAAGCCACAGGTGGTATTAACGTGTTTCACACACTTGGAGTGAGGCACAGACTTGCTTAGGAAAGCCATCAGTGCCAGACAGGAGCCCAAAGACTTAAAACTTGAGCTTCCTTTTGGTCTCCAATTAACTCTTTCTTACAAGAGCAAACTCCACTTAACCTGAAGAACCTCACCTGATTTGAGGCAGTAACACCTATTTGCTCTTCAAACAAGAGTACTTCAGTGCACTGATTTTAAGGCTTGCTCTTAACTAATGACATGCCAACAGAAAAAATAATCCTAGTACAGAGCAATTAGGCTGTCCTCCTTTTCATCTGATAAGTCTATATAAAATATGAGAAAAACCCTCACCTTTGTGTTTGCTGCAATCCAATTAGAAGTTTCACTGTCATCATCACACTTCTTAATCCATTTCTTTAACCACTGTTAGAAAATGAAGAAGAGTTACACTTAAATAGAAGAACTGTAAACCTTCCCAAGACAGCTGCTTACATTAAGGTAAGGTACACACAACCACATGGGAATATGGGGGGGGATGTTGGTGCTGGAAAGCAGTGCGAACAGCAACTAATTTAGTTACAGACACTTCCTCCAGCACCATCCTGATCCAGCGAGCATGATCACTCAGCACAAACACTTCAGCAATGAGTTTGCAGTTCTTAAGTTCAACTAACACAGACTTCACATGGGACTCTAAAATAATAAGGATGTTGTAACAGTGATCTGCCAAAATTGCAGTCAGGCCCTCTGCGATGCCTAGCTTTACACCAAGCCAAGTTCTTCCTTAGGCTTGCAATGCTCCCCTTATGCTGTCCTTTTTTTTTTTTTTTTTAAAAAAAAAAACCAAACCTTACTGAGAACATGGCTTTATCAAACGAATGCAAGTAAGAAAAGCAGAAGACTGCTTGCACCCCATTAGATAATAAGCTGACCACATCTAGCCTGGAAAGGTCAGCTAAACCATGCTAAACCTTTGGTGAATTTTCCCTCCCGTCTCCCCAAGGAAGCTTTTCTTGCATTTGTTACTAGGAACACAGACTTCTCTGTCCCCAAGGCATGAAACATGGCTGTCCGTGAGCTCTGCACAGACCACAGGATTCCAGGCTGGACTGCAGCTTTCAATAGCTCCACAAAATGGTCTAGAGTCACTCAACAGCAGCAGGTCCCATGACCAAATTAATTCCTTCAGTACGACAAATCACAAGCCTGCCAAAGCACCAAACACCTATAGAAACACGTAGTACAGGATGCTTGTTGTCAAGTGAAGCATCACTCCTGAAGCACATTCATTCCTCTTCAGAGGGTCACAGCTGTAACAGCTTCCTCCCTCCAGACATTTGCCCATCTGGCTGAGGCACTGTTCCTTCACAAGGTCCAACTCTGAGGCATCCTAAAGGCATCCAGTATGATTTCACCAATTCTTCTCACACTATGACCTAAACAGGTGAACTACTATGCTACTTGATGCAAACAGCCACAAAGCTTGTGCTTCATTTCTACATCTTGAAAAAGTTTAGTCAATTTATGTGCAAAGTCATGCATTTAGAAAAGATCTTTGACATGCTCACCTTGCATTTAACAGGATCGTGCCAGTTTTCACCACAGTTAAAGCTGTAAGTGAAAGAAAGGGGAAAGTAAGCAAATAAGGCAGAGGATTGTTTAACTACGTTAACACTGTGGAAGTTTTCTTCTGGGTTGTTCTGCTGAAAGACCAAAGATAGTCCTAAGGAAACATTACACATGTCAAAAGATCTCCCAACCCTCAAATCACCCAATGCAGTATAAATCTCTATGAGCAGTATATTATCTCCATACATTTTGATTCTCTACAGTGCCTGCAGTCAAGAACCTCACCTAATCTCAAAACCACTCATCTCTCAGCACAACCTGGATCTGTCTCTATGTCAAAGGAGGCCCAAGACACAGAGAGCAACAACTACATAGTGATGGGCTTTTCAACCAGCTGTACCTAATGCTGGCTTACCATTTGAAGCCCACCCCATGCTTCTCCCACCATCTAAACCACATTCCAACATAAAGACTTACAGAATACATACTAATACACTTTCAAGGTAGTAAGTAAAAAGCAATATCAACGTCTTTTACTTGATTTTTCTTACCAAAACTGACGTCCACATTTGCAGCGAACGGGTTTAGCATCAGGATATTGGACTTTAACAACGTGGTGGCAATCTGGGGCAGGACACCATTTTAACAGTCGATTACACTATGAAATAAAAAAAAAAAAATAGAAAAAGGATGCTGCACAAGGACGCTACCTGCCCTTCATCCCTTTTTCATCCTTTCAACCATGACCTTCGGTCACACTCCTTCCTCTGCAATGAGTGCTGTCTCCTCAATCTAAGCATTTACTCTTTTTCTACTGAAAGAAAGCAGGAATATGATAGTAAACTCTTCGCGGTCAAAGAGCCTCTTATGAAAGATGAGGAGCATAAAGACTTCTGCTGACCTCACAGCTCACTCAGAGAATATACTTGAATATGAAGCTATGATGCTTTCCACTGAAAAAAACATGTCAAGTTGTTTGCTACTCCCATCTCTGTTCCACCGCTGCAACAGCCTTTCTGAAACTGCTCACAAACCACGCACACTAGGTTTTTACAAGCACCGCTTTCTCATACCTCTTGAACATCATCTCATCACCTGTTCCTGCTGTACTGGAGCCAGATATGGGTCTGCATTGCTAGACTTTTGTCAGTCTTTCAGTCTGCAACACATGCTTAGCTCCAGTGTTGCATTAAAAAAAACAACAACAACAAAAAACCCAACAAACCCACCACCCCCCCCCAAATCCAAACCCATTGCATACATCACTTCAAACAAGGAGCAAAAGCTTGATCCTAGTAACAACTTACACATTGGGCTTTACAGTGAATCTGAATGCATGCAACTGGGAAAATGGGACAGTGGAAAAATATTCCAAAGCACCCTTCTCCAAGTTTATTTTGATTTTGAGGTTGCAAAGCTATTAGTATTTTGCTAAAAGCAATTTTGCAGCTTTACTTCAAATGGCAAATGTTTAAGGCACGTTCTTGTCTACAACATTTCTTGGTTTTCAATCTGAAGTATCTCAGGTAACATTGAAGAACTATAAACATTAAGTGCTCCTCAGAACGTACAGACTGAACAACTCTTGCATTCTCTATTTACAGCTGCTTGCTATATCTCTATGTCTTTTGTTGTGCATTTTTTTAATATATTTTCCTACAGCTATACCTGTAACTAAAAGGGCTTTAAAATAACCCCTGCAAAGCCTTTAACTTGTAGCCACACTTGATGAAAGACTATACAAAAAAACCTGCTCTACAGCTACAAACAAACCTCACTTCTCTGGTTTGGTACATAAGTGAGACAAAAGCAACCTAGAAGCCATTAAAATTTTCAAATAAAAACTCACCTCTACAAAACTATTGGTTATTAAATGCTGGTACTTTAATTTAACCTTGGAATCTGTGATCAGACGCCTGTGGAAAGGGAAGAAACACAGAATAATTATTGTAGTAGAAAGCTCATTTTTTCCATATATAGCCAGTAAGTTAAGACAGACGAATGGTTTTGATTCCTCCTACACTTGCAGGTACTTTTTTGTACTTACCTGTCCTCTATTTATTTGTTAGATCATTTATTATATTATTATGAAAACTACAAATACTGTATTTAACTTATAATATTAGCTTCAGAATCATAGAGAAAGCTCACGCAGTTCAAAAGAACTGAACCTCTTGGTGTGGGGACTTTTACTTAAAAAGACTTTCCTGAAGAGCCCAAGAAACAGAGCAAACAATTTCATTAGTTCATTTACATTAAACATGTGGCAAATCCCTTTAAAAAGCTCCAGAACACCTGTTGTGCAGTTAATAACTTTGGTAGACCTAATGCTATCTGGGTTTCAGTGGAATGCTACAGCTTCAGTTTAAAAGTTAATGTTGTTTTAATCTATTTACCACAAAACCAAAGCTGATTTAAATTCAACATCATAGAGGGTGTACACAACATCAACTAAGTCAGTCAGCTCGGAAGTGGGAGAGCAGAATAAAACTAGACAGATAGGAATCCTTTAAAAGCATGGTTACCACTTTTCTCCTGGACACACCAACCCAGCTGGCATTTGCAGACTGTCCAGCCTAGATACATTCAAAATAATTAAATTATGTATTGGTGAGCACTTTTATATAAGTCTTCCAGTTATGACTGAAGTGTCTTCTGCATAAATATAAAGATGGACTAATACCCACTTTGCAGTATTTCTGTTTAAAATCATACCGTGGAATACAGCTTTATACAGGCCATATCACGTATAAATATTGAAATTAATAGATTATTCATTTCAGGGTGCAGCTAAAATTAAGTGTACTCCTGCATGTTATCATGCCAACATTCATTAAAGAACAGCGCATGTGATGATGTGATGTTGCATAAATCCTAGCCCTTAGCAGTCTGGGGAGCTCCTCACCAAACAACATGCTGGTTATTACATAAACATAGTACGGGGCAGCCAACTTCCCAGTGCAAAAATAAAACAAATCAGCTGACAAAGCATCTCATCAGGCCCATGTCCATGGCAAGCCTGCAATTTTGGAGTCAAACTTACTGAAGAATGAAAAAACAATTTAAACTTATAACATGAATTATAAATTTCACTTTTACTCCTAGGCTTCTAGACATAATCAATGTCGCTTCAAAAAATTTATTGTATTACATATCAGGAACTGGAATTTAAATAAAGAGTAATGCCATAACTAACCAGAGCACACAGAATATGCAATCTGCTTGTTTTTGCTTACCAAACTGCCTATGATCACTCCATGTTAGCAACCTCACCTGCTCTACATTCAACAGCACTTCCACAGCACGGCTCAGGTCAAGACCTTCAAGAACTTTGCTCTGAACATTACAGTTTTTTGACAATAAATGAAACTAGACAAATCAAGAGATGAAACCCATTCCCAGTTCCCACACACCATACTTTGGGGTACCTTGAGCCAAGCTATAAAAGAAGGATCCTCACCAAAGAAGCCAGGCTGGAAATGCAAACTGCTTGCAAAAAAACCCTTAACACTTGATCTCTTCTGGCAGCTCAGTTCAGAACCACACAATCTCGAAAACTCACACAAAGATGGCAGCAATCCTTTGTCAGACCATAAACCTTACATTTTTATTCCATTTTGATAACACAAACTCCTCAAAGACACCAATCAGTGGAATTAGCAAAAAAAATGCACATCATGTGAGAGGTCAAACACCTTCCCATAGGAATTACTTCAAGACCTTACTACCTTCTGACATGATGCAGCAGCAGCGGTATTTGCAACTATGCAAAGGAAGATTGAAAATGAGGCAGCACTCCATATGACTTCCATATCAGAACCCAAAATCCATCCATTCCCACAGAGCGCGTTGATTTTCAGAGGCTACTACCTGACTGCTGCCACCCACGAGCAGCAGCCATTAGACATGCCAGTAACAAAAGGCAGCCTGCCTTGCTTATTAATGAAATCAACAACTTTGCATGTAGGTTAAAGCAATTACCAGCAGCATTAGCAAGGGTGAACAGGGGATAGAAACAGATTACCTTCAGCCAGTTTGAAGGTCTTGAAAGAACTGAAAGGGACCCTCTCTTCAGCCTTTCTACTTAAGCTCAACAGTAATATGGAAAATGGACAATAAGCTAGCTAAATACTCACAAATCCAGGAAGGTCATCTGAATGGCCAAGTTTGGACTCGTATGGAGATAATTCAACCTGGAGAGGTACTGCCTTGCAGAGGGCACGTACTGAGAAGGGAGCAAATTAATAACTTGGCCTATCTACTTTGATTTTCTGATGGATAAAGAAGCTTATGTCTCTATACATTGCACACTAATCTTAGGGTCCTGTAGCTTGGAAACCTGGAACTGGAGACTTTGTAAAAATGAAACGACCTAAAAAGAGAATAATTAAGGACATGGGAGGGGGTGCAGATTCCAGTTGGGATTGCTTACATTTTTATTCATGCTATTTCATAAGATTGCCACACATAAGATTGCCACAGTTGTCCATCTTTGCTTTTAAAGGAAAGCATTAAGCTTTTGCAAAAAAAAGCACCTCCTTTCCCCAGACATTCCAAATGTTCCCCGTAAGATCAAGGAAAGGTGGATTTTTACCTCCACAAAACATTTGTAGTTTTACTTAGACAAAAGGGAACTTGTTTGCTTTACCAACTAAATGCTATTTTACTACCATAGGCCTCAGATCTCTCTGCCATTTCTAGGCAAGGAGGAATCCCACAGCACATGATGTGAGTTGAAGACTGAGCAGATTCACCCGAGTGTCATGGTTTTCTGTGCTATAAAAGCCATGAAGCAAAACATAAGGATAGTCAGACCTACTACTAATATCAAGCAATAGCAACAGAAGCCATAACAATAAAAGCCAGCACTGCTGCTCTCTTCTTCCATCCTTTCCTTGCTACTGCTACCACCACAGCCTCCAACAAATTCAGCTAGTCTACTTTACAGGCACTATTTGAACAGCTTATTCAAACTTTTCAATCAAGAAAACACTCAAGAAATTTCCTGCTGAGAGTGTATGACACCAGAAGTTGGGTTCAGACTCCAGTAAACAAAAATCTCAATCAAGTCACTCAAGATACTATGCCAACTTCAGTTCAGTTTCCACCCACTGAACTCTACAAACCACCCCTCAACAGGGCATGAAAACATTTCAGCTACTTCCAGTTCTATCCAGCCTACACTTCATGACTAACATAGAGCCACTAATGCAGAGGGATATGGGAAATCACTAGTCTGAAAGCAATTGATATAAAAACCAGCAAATTAATATCAATGAGTGAGTCAGACTTCAGGAAGGAAGGAATAAGGTAACAGAATAAGCTTCTATTTAGACGCTTTTTAGCATGAAGAATTAAAATGAACTTAATCAAGGTTCAGAATTATGAAGGATATTACTCATGCAATAACATCACCCAATATAAAAGAGAAGGAAGCTCTTGGAATTCACTGCTTCACCATGTACAAGCAGTCATCCTACAGCTGGACAACTTAATAAGCAAAGTGACACAGACTAACATACCATCTTAATCAAATCTTATGTTTGAGGGTCAAATGCTTTCTATCAGAGGGCATAAAAACACACCCTACATCAGACCGTACACAGGACTTCTTTCCTCTGACTCACATATTAACTATAGCTATAGGGACTTGGTGAACCAGTGGGTTGACCTAGGTAGGAAGTCCTAAATTCCTACATAAATCAAAGGAAACAAAATGCACAGAGCAGTTAAACAGGGTTTGGAAAGACTGCCTGGTGTTTATTCTGATGTCATGCTGACCAATTTGGTCAAGGAGTCTTTCCTCCAAGTACTGTGGCACGGGTTTTTCAGAGCTAAACAGAAAGTCAAGAGACATACTGGTATTAACATAGACAGTTCAAGACCAACCTCTCTGCTGCCTTAAAGCCTCTATACAGTTGGGGTTTTTTAAAGCCAGTATATTTGGATAGCACATGAGTAACAAAATGGAAAAAGAGAGGAAAGCCAAGAGGTAGCAACTCATCATACTTACATAACTGTATTGTCATCGACTAAGATATCACAGCCATGAGCAGGGCATGAAATGGTCTGAAAAAAAAAAACCAAAGTTCATAAAAGGAACAGTGTTTATCCTATTTTTTGCATCACAAAGAATTCCAAGGCAACAGACTTCATTAAAATCCATAGCAAAAATAGTAACTGGCTCTATCATCACATCCCAGATGTGCCACTGTGCACAGCATTATTCCTCCCACTCAGAGCAAAGATGCCTGCACTAAGTCCATGTAGTTCCCTCCAGCTTCACCCATGGCAAAGACTGCAGCCCCCAAAGCTTCGGGGCTTGGGTTTTCTTTGTTGTTCTTTTGGGTTTTTTAAACTTTAGTGGGGAAGAATTCTTGCCTTTCTTTCCCCACCCTCTCCAATACGCAGAATTTCCAGAAATAAGTCATGAGGTAGGCGAGTTGACATTTTACCTGTCCCATGCCTTCCTCCATTATTTTGGTAGTTAAATATTCACTCCAGCACTGCATACAGAACTTGTGTCCACACTCTAGGCCAGTAAAGTACTGCAATGACAAAGAACACAAGACAGTGGATCATTTTATCACATGGATTCACTCGATCATTTCGCCCTTCTTGGTGCTGTGCAGCTTATCACATCTCTCATCCCCCACACCAAACCTGAGACACTACTATTTATTTTGCATCATCACCACTACAGAACATTGCCAATGCAGCTTTAGTCATGCCTTCAAAGACAGGCTTTAATCCCCATCCCTAGCAGCAAGGAAAGGTGTGGCTGATGTTTCCATCCTGCCTGCCTATTTAAACTGATCCTTATTTTAGGAGTATATACAGAGCATAGCATGGCTCTCCCCTGTTTTACTCATGCAAATGAATAAAATAAATGCAACACCACCAAACAGGTCACAGTTATAAGATGATATGGAGTCTTCTTTCCTCCTATTTTCCCACTTGGCTTGGTTCCACATGTGGGTGCTGCCCAGAAGTCCCAGAATATGCACACCAGCTATTCACAGGCACTAATTTAGCTCCCTCTTGTATAGCAAACATTAAGTGATCAGTGAGCAGTCTGCATTACTGTGTGAGCACTAACAACAGAAATAGAAAGAATTGTGTGCATTTATGCTTTTAATGCGTATGCATAAAGTTTGCCAACTTGCTTGGTAAACTTCCCCCAAAACCCAGATGCTCATCAGATGAAGACACTAAGGATCCTAATTGGCAGGTGTAAATTACTAAATAAAATTCAATAATAATTAGCTGTTGCAGACAGCAACAAGGACGACTTCATCTGTGTATGCATCATCTACACCGAGTATGTCAAGATACCATCTGGGACTGAATGGTTACAAGGGGTGGAAAAGCAAACACTGCTGGGGAAAGGCTGAAATTAAGTTACTTTTCTCAGGTCATCTTAAAGTTACTTTCTACCCAGAGCCTGGGCAAGGACAATCTATATTTAAAACAGTTCACTCGTACCACTGCGCAGGTTACAATCTGATGGCTTGCCTTTTCAAGCCATCTTATTCTCAGCCAATAAGATAAAACAAGAGCTCCACCCTGAGATACCATCACTTGTATGAAACTCCACAAACGAAAGAAACCTGGTATCCTCTGCCGAACAGCCCAAAACAACAACAGGATGCTGGTAATTAAGAAAAGGAGAGAGTCCATTTTAAGAAAACAACATTCTTCCTAAACTGCCTCCTTGACCACTACAGACTCAAGATTACAGCCACCACATCGCCCATTTTGTTCATCCGACACTGGCGTACTAGCTAGGTTACATTCATCTTTTGACGCTACAGCACTCGGATTGCACAGGGAAGGTGCTTGTTAGCACATTCTTCCCACGGCCTTACCATTTTGTGATTCACACTCGTCTGGCAGTCCTGCCATCAACGGAGGCACAGGTTTGAACCTGAGGCTTGGAAACACGCTGCAATGCTGCAGCCAGTAGGCTTGACTCTGCCTGCCATTCCCACAACCTGCCAGAGAGCACTTACCAGGAGCAGCAAAGCAGTTAAATCTGACCTGACCAGTCAGCGAGAAGTGAGCTGAGCATTTGAATCTGTTCCAGGTAAAAATAGAGATAGCCACCCAAACCTTTGCTTTCTTAAGAACAAAAAACAAAACAAAACAAAAAAAAAATCAGAGTGGTGCGTCCTGCCAGCAGCTCAGCTCAAGGAGAGAGGAGGCTGACAGCTATGGGGTGCCCAGGTACACCAACTCCAAGACTGAAAAAAAAAATACCTTCCAATTTTTGAACCATTACTAAGCCAGCTAACAAGGTATCTGATGCTCCACAGATACTGCTGTGGCCAAGTGATGCCCCTTGGAGATGCAGGGTTATGGTAGAAAAGCCCCAACGTCTGTAGCCTTTGGGATGCCAACAGCACACAACCAGCCTGAAGACAGCACTGACTTCTCCCAGAATTATGGCTTCTCCACATGTGATGGGAAGCAAGCACAGACAAGGGAATCATCCCCTGAACCTAAATATTCCACAGCAAGCACACTCAAGGAAGCACTCCAGAACATAGGTAAGCACACATCTTCATTTAAGACTCATTTCGGATATTTCAGGCAGTAAAAAGATTTGCTAAATGCCCACATAAAAGGCAGCCACCAGGCTTCCTCCCAGGCCGCAGGGAATTCAGAGTATCTTTCAACTCATTTCTTTACTTTGAGGGAGTTCCCAATTATTTTTGGCTAAGCTGACAGCAGATGTCAAGGGAGCAAGCAAAAAGGCCAACACAAGACCATTAAGTGCAATGGGTAACAGTGACTTCTGAAACAGTACTTTATCAGAGGGGACAGCCCTACTTTCACCCTACCTATACTCACCACCTACTTTTCTTGTGAAACCAAGTACTAGCAGCCACATGCTGCCATATGATACCTGTCCCTGCTCTTCTGGTAGCATCAAACTGATCAAAGAAGGGATCAGCTGCTCCAATATGTGTTTACCATGACAGCCCTACTCAGGCTTTCTTTACTTCAGTAATGATAGCACCAACAGACTAAGTCGTCTGTGTGTCCTTAGAACAAACACACAGTTTGGACAACAGCACGACATTCCCCAAACGCCCCCACCCCAGCAGCCTTGCTCTCCAAGGGAACCTGAAGGGTGACGTGCAAGAGAGGGGGTAGGCAAAGCCACAACCCTCTCAATTCCTGTCTTCACCAATAAGGGTTTCACCTGAAATAACTATTGTGACTTGACACTGGTTCATGGGGACACAGAGGGACTAAAATATCTCCCTTAAGTTTTTACACCATCAGGGTGCAGGCTGCCATGAGAGCATCAAATGCCTTGTTTTGCAGGTGCTTCCCAAAACCTCAAATCGCAGTTCTTTGGCGACGACTAAAGAGCTATAAAGACTTCGTATTTCCCTCACACGTGCTTTAAAAGGCAGACAAATACCACCTGCAATGACCACACGAGAGGGTGAATATTCAAGACTCTTACATTCCTGTAATAGCTGTACATTGTAAAATTTCCTAACGGGTGTAACTCCAAACTCTCAGCTTTCCATAGGCTGGAAGGGGCTCTCAGAAAAACAAAAAATACAGCTTTTTCTAGGGAAAAAAACAAAGTAAAAGCTGACCATTGCAAGAGGCTTTGAAAGCTGAGATTTTAGGTTAGGTATTGAACATAACTTAGCCTAGAATTTATAATTCACATTGACCAAAACAGCTTCAAAACATATTTCAAACCAGATGGCTTACTTTAGACACAGAGACACTACAGCATTTTACAGAAGAAATAATAGTTTTCCTATATGCTGCAACTTTTATGCATGGCAAAGAAACAGAGGTTCCCCACTGTTGTCTCTTGACTTGATCCAACACCAACAATATAGACACATCTCTGCTCACTTGCAACATTTCACTGCTCCAGCTAAGACTGGGCCACTACTATTTTTAACATGCTATTCAAACTACAAAGCCAAGAAGTATTAGTGTGCTTTGTTCAGTTCTTTCCAGTAGCCAGAAAGGTGCTTCCCAGGCAGCGCAGGTACCCCCAGCCAGCTGGAGGAAAGACCTGTCAGTTGTGTATGCTGGGCATATCGTTCCCACCCAGCACAGCAACTACCTTGAAAAGGGGAGAACAATATATTAAGAAACAAAATCTATATTTGAAGTTTCCAAAAGGACCTTTTCTGGAGATGGACATTAAGATGCTAAAGATGTCTCCTCCCATTTTTCCCCCTCAGTCTTTCTCCTATTTTCATTTAAAATATTGCATAGCCTAAAATCAAAATTATATCCTTACTACCTAACATGGAAAGTCTGCAGTGATTAAACAACAGGATTTCAGCATAAGGTAGAGAGCCAAACAAATTTCTCAGGCTTGTCTTCCTTTTTCAAAGCACCTCTTTATGCAAACCAAGCAACAATTCTCCTTTGCAGCTATTCTCTAAAAAGGAAGTCAGTGCACACAAGGCTTAAAAGCAGATGCATGAAGTCTTGTGGTTACTGGCTCAAGAGCAATAGTGATTTTAACACTGAGAATCTCAGCAGCCTGAAACTGGGCTTTGCTCTGCTCTGCCTGCTCCAGAGCAAGGAAAAGGACTGCAGTCAGGCTACAGCAGCAAGGGTACTTTATTCAAGGCTACCCATAAACCCCAAAGCTCATAATGGTTTCCATTCTTGCTGAAAAGCAAGCTCATAAAACACACCTAGAGCAAGAGTGGAAGCCTTACTTAAGGGCTGCTTTGCTCTTTAAAGGTCAGGCAGATGTTATGGTGTTTTGGAGGGTCAGGACAGCTCCACCTCAAACAGTAGGTTCCAATAAAGGAAGAAATCCTCACGTATGTCAGCACCCTGCCTTTTGGCAAAGCCACGGATGGACTCTCGTATTTGAGCTTTTCCACTAATCTCATTTTCTTCCAGGATCTCCCATCATTACGTCCTGCCCCTGGAAAGTCACAGCAAGTTGCTCACCTGTACAAAACACAGCAGAAGCCTGGACCTCTGATTAGGTTATGGGAAAGTTTAGAGTTTGTCAACAGCTACAAAAAAAGAAGCACCATCACCTATCTTACCACAAACCAAAAGACTAATTTAGACCCCCAGCAAGCACTTCTACCCTAATCTTCTCTGATTAAGAAGGTATTGCACAAACATGATAAAGATCCAAAGATATCCACATTGGTTGTGTTCTCTGAACAGCACAACTTTTACGTCTACTCCTACTCAGTTTTATTCTAGTCTAGCTTGACTGTTTTGTATCCTTATTTACTACTTTTATAAGCTCTCTCCTGTCTTGTCATTCTATTTAAGTAAATCCCTTTGTCCGTCATGCTTTCCATATATTTTTGCTTTCATGTATCATTTATCTGCATGTGTCAATTGGTATCTGACCTTTGTAACAATCACTTGATCTACTGCTTGCTTTTTTCTGAAGAACTTCACTACACTACACCCAGACCCCAACACCCTCAAAGGTTTTTGTAGAAAGGATAATAATTTAATTTGAAATACAATCCCATTTCCAGTAAACTAATACCATTTGAGGTTTGTCAAGCCACACAGTAAGAATTGAAGAGAACGCATAAAGCACTACATAATTCTGTGGTCCCCTACCACATTACTTGGATCAGCTGCAGCACACAAGACATAAGGTTTACTGCATTAAGAAACAATCTTGAACACTGTTTTTTAATGCATATACTACAGATTGGAACATTCAATGAAAAAAGTGAAATCTCAGTTTCATTTCAAGGCTTTTTAAAATACTGTTGGAGAAATCCTTACAGACTTCTGCACCCAAAATATTACGTTTCAGACAGCAAAGTCTGTGGAGTTACTGGTCAGATACCACCTTGGCTGCCAGGTACTCACCGAGTTTGGGTAGTTCAGATAGCAGATCTGACAAGGCATATCCTGGGCTGATGACCTTGTGTTCATCTGGCGCGTTCGAGACTTTTTACTTGGATTAATTACATGACACTCTGCAAAGAGCTTCTCCAAGTTGCCATCGAAGTACCTGCATAACACACACAAGAGAATGAAAATTTAACTACCTTCCCTGTAAGTCATTTTTCAAATTCTACTTGGGAGTTAAATGTACAAAGCTGGGTTTAGTATTTCAAAAAACTCACAAGCTCACTACTGTTAAACTCTTCACTAACATAACACAACACAGCCCTGACCACAGAGGTGGATATTAGACAACTATAATTTCAGAGATTCTGGCTTGCATTGCACACTCCTGAAAATTCAGGTACCTTCAATTCTTCAGCTGCATTTCAAGTAATTCACGATTCTCCACAGCAATTGCTTTGCATTAAAACTCCAAGACAGGAAACTAGAGCAAGAACATCCCACTTTGCAGTCCAGGCACCAGGATACCTTCCTAAAGCACAGCTTAGATGCCCCCAAGTTCAATTCTCTTTTCAGCTTAAGCCTTCCATTTTTTCCTAATATTCTAATCACTAAAGAGGAGGCAGGAAGCAGTAATCAGTCACAGTTCGTGATTCAGCAGGTCCCTAGTTCCTGTACTTCATGTTCTCCTCCATGTACTCAGTCTACATTAAGTGTGCCTCAAAGAGGTCCTGACTTCAATTTTGGCACTTCCTTCTCTGATCTAAGGAGAAATGTGTCAGCAAAGTCAGACACTTGGTTCAGTTGATCAAGCACTTATGCATGGTCACCGATCTCCAATTAAGGCAACTGCAGGACTGCCTTTCACACACTTCAGTCATCTCCAGAGTTTGGAACAACTGCTGCTAGGTCTGGACTCTGATCTCCAGTTAGGCTAGTCTTCACTTTCACACTAAACACCTTACCCATGTCCAAAGCCTGCACCACCCATCTCTTGGGCCAAAATCCTAGCCATTTGAGTATCTTTTGTCTCCAGTCAATCTGACATATTTTAACAACCTCCTAAGAAAATAAAATTCCAGGTTTACCATGCTTTCAAAGATTAGATATCTCATGGAAAGGAGGATGCAAAATTGGTTGGGGAGAGACAAAAGACCACTTTCTTTCCATTTCCTATTCCCTTAAGGAAAAAAAAAAAACCCAACTTGTTCAGTTTACAAGCAGTATTCGCCAAAAGTCCCAAATCCATAACGGCTCTCTTATAGCACTACCTACCGACAAGACTTGACTTACAATTAAAAAGTGTTAATTTCACTGCTGGTTCATAGGTTTCTTAATGCAGTTCACATACTTTAGATCTTAATTTTCAAAGACACTGAATTTTGAAGGTAGTGGGGAATTCTGGCATTGCAGGATACATGAGGCTTTGCCCCTGTTCTTCAGTGTTAGGTCAGGGATGTAACTCAACCGAGTTACTTTGTTTGCCTACAGGATTAGTCATATCCAGAAAAATTTTAGCAAGCAAATTCAGTGCAGTCCCATTATACACAATATTTGTTTATTAAAGAGTCATGGATAAATACTAACTCCACAAAAGGTTTCCAGCCTTCAAATTGTTCTCACATGCAGCACAATCAGTGTAGCACATCCTCCGTTTGAGAAGAGCAGGCAAACACTTGGGTGTGATGTTTGCAAGAAAAAATAGTTTTGAAGACAAATGCTATGATGCAACTTTAACACTGGCATTCGTGGTCAGCTAAATTCTTATGGAAATACCAGAGATATTTGTAATGGTGGGCTGTTTAAAGGTGCATTACCCCCATCACAAACTTGACTTTACCACTTGCACTGGGCAGTTCTATTTTTACAGTATTTCTGCAAAAGCTACTTTCTGAGCCATGACGCCTACTGCCCTATGCCAAGACATATAGACAGAAAGTCACCAGCAATTGCTTTTTACCTGGAATTACCTATTCCCTCTAAATACCAATAGGTAACTAATTCAGAACAACCATTTCCTTCCCAGGCTTTCAGGAGATTCCCAATAACAGAAAATAAGTGACTTGACATCCTGTGTTTCTCAGGGCTAAAGGCTAGTGACAAGGGTAACTCAAGTAAGATTTATAGATTGGAATCTTTAGCCAATTTCCAAATTATCAATACACTGCAAAGCATGCAGGTGCTTATTACATTTTGGTAAAACAGCCACAGCCCATATCAAATCATTTCCATATCAAGTGCCTGGTCTCCCCTACACTTACACAGGAGAAGCAAATGAGGCAGCTGAGAGACTCAGTCAGGGCCATGCAGAGGACGAAGAAAACAATCTAAGAAAAAAGGCTAAGTTTTGCCTTTTTAACTCTACTGCACTCTTAATTCTTACAATATTCACTCTGCTCTTTGGGATTACCACTTGTAAACCTCACCAGTGCTGAGGACAAACAGGGTACTGGGTATTCCTCCTTCCCCATGCTGTTTTCTTTTAATGCATTTGCCACCTTTGCTGTGCCAGGGTGCACTGAGCAAGTAATTTCCACAACTATTTGTACATATGTGTCTCAGACTCAAAATCATGCTGTCACTGGACAATAAGAAAACAATAACTCTAGAAAACGCAGAAGAAAACCTGGATCTCCCTGAAAATACACAGTTCCAATGGCTACTCCAGAGCAGAGTCCAACACCTCTAACTGTTCCACCACTTCTTATGCAAACACACCAAGGGCCCAGTCAGAAGACTGCTCCAGTTCCTTCAAGTGTTAGGAATGAATCTTAATTCCAATTACCATGGCTTTTTTCCACTTGTTCTAGCATCAACACACACCATCCATTTAAGCAGATCTCCCTTTGCCCTTCCCATGTTCTTTGCTCAAAGGATTCACAGGCAGCAGCTCTGACACCTTTCCCTAACACAGCCGATAAGCTTCTCACATGACACTTCTCCACTTCCCTGTCCCAGCAAACCTTCTCCACCACCAGTTTCCATTTCCATTCATCCTCCTTGAACCCAAGGAGGCCAAAACCAATGCAATTCCAGATAAGATTTCACCACAATCTCATACAATTTCACCTATATTTCTCCTGCAGATATCTCACCTAATGCATCCCAAACGATGTCTACGTTTCTCCAGAGCTCCTTCATGTCAGCAGCTCCATTTTAATCTCTGCTACAAACCCCATATTCTTTTCCATCTCTGTGTTGATGAGACCTATTGTGACACTTTGTACCACTTTTATTGCTAGGATCGTCCCAGCTGTCTGGGTTTTTTTCCTGTATGAAGTATGGATGCTCCTCTGAGCCAAATGCCTCCAAACAGATTTGTGCCAAGTCATTCATTAATACTAAAAAACATTCATCCCAAAAATTAACTGATAAGGGACTTACTAACAGGTTCCATCTAGAATGCTACTCCCCTTTTGAGCAAAGTAACTCTATACACACCATACTAATAGCTGAACCCAATGTATGCCCCATATTTTATATAATACAGTTGCATGCTGTCATCTCTGCCATGAAACATGGGAGAAAAATCCTTTAATTCCCTCCTCACCTTCTTTACAATGCCAGGGTTTTTGATTTTTCCTCAAGTTCTCACTATTAAAGGGTTGCTTCTTGGTAGCTTGCTCCTTATTTTCATGTTAGGGAGGAGCACAGGACATTACCAGCCTTTTAAGCCCTCTGCCCTCTTCTCCATTTGCAATGCAGATACTCAGTAATTCCAGCACTTCTGATACTTGAGAAATGTTACAGTCTATTCAACCAACATTAGACTCTCTGTTCAATATAGCTGACTTCAACAACTTGTTCTATTAGTTTTTCAAAATTCATTCGCTTCATCACAAAGTTGTTTTCTCTGCTACTTTAAAATGAATAGACACACCAGTGAATTATTTTCAAGTTCTATAATTTCTTCACTGCTTACCAACACCAAGTCCATAATAGTATCAAGTCTTTTTGGCAGAGGGTCAAGCTGTCAGCTTCTTTATTTCCTCAAAATTTCTTCCTGCTGTTGCTAACTGCCTAATCAACATTTTCTAGACATAATCAAATCATATCCAAGGGAGTACCAAAGATAAAAAGCTTTTTCACAGAAAAAAAAAAAGCTTCTAGTACACACTTTGGGATATTTACTTCAGTGAAATAGCATTTGTGAATGTCAGAGAATCAGCATACTCACAGTAAAAGATATCTTCATACCAAAACACCTGCCATGAACAATTTTTCACCTCTGCAGCCTCTGCTGAATAGTGTTAAGTACTTATTTGCCCAAAGGAAAGCAGACAGCCAGGTACCTATAGAGAACTCAGACCCTGAATGCAAGGGGAAGAGGCAATCTGGGCTAGCAGCCAAGACACCAGGGCCATCCTGGCATCAGTCCTCTGCTCAGAGGGAACAGAGACATGTGGCCACCAAGATAAGCACCTACAAGGAACTGCAATACCTCTGTCTGTACCCTCCAGGGATTAAATTGGGCCTTTGGTTACATGCTGAAATACTTGTCTTTAAAAAAAAAGTGACCAGGGGAAGGCACCAAGTGGGAGAGCTGCATTTTAGTTTCTTCATCATGAGGAGGTTCATCCCCAAAACTCCCCTCAAGAGGGACAGATGCTATCAGCCATAATAAAATTGGAAGGTAATCAATTAGTACTTCACCAGTGGGATAGGGCACTTTTTCAGTTGTGGCTATTACTTCATTGTAAGTGGAATAAGTACCTGCAACATATCTGCCATGCAATTATTCCATGACGAACCTGACACACAGTAATAACCTGCTTATTAAAAACATGCATAACAATACAAAAAAGCAATGAAGAAGTTTTCATGTTTTAAAACACAGAAGTTTTCATCTCACAAGCTCAGGCCTCACCACGCTCAACACTTATCAAAAAAGAAGGCACTTGGCTTATCTGCTTTATTACAGGCAAAGTTTGATAAGGCTGCCTGTCAGGTCATGCTGACTCACCATGAACTAAGGTAAAACAGACACTGGCTAGGTGCTGTAAATATACACCATTAAGCAACTAAGTTCAAGCTCTGACTTGGTGTGAAATCAAGCACCAAAAACTGCACCCAAACATTACATCTTAGCATGCATTATACCCACCCAGACTGCAGGCAACAACAGGAATTTCCTGGGAAGTCTTCCTAATGGTTATTAGGAGTAAGAGGCCAAATTTATACTAAAGTAAGAGTCCCCCAGGAAAAAAAAAAGTTTCCAACACTGTTGCAGAACAGGGATTCACTTGGTGTGAAAGAACACTGTGTGTAAGCGCTTTTACTTAGCGCCTGCAAGAAGTGCAATAGCAGCAGTTACCTGCTGGCTCCCCAGCACAAAGCAGATGCTCCGGCCCTGGGGTCAGGCTCTGCTTGGGTTTAGCCCACACAGCAATGGATGCATGCCGACAGGCAAGCCAGCACGCAACTTAAGCCATGAGCAAACTGGAGATTTCAGGCACAAGACTTTTTTTGGGTCAGACACTGAAGATGCAGTGAATAGATAGTGTTACTTTCAAATAAAATCTATGTTTTGGGGGTTTTTCCTTAAAAAAATAAAGTAGCATTTAAACTTATTTTTTTGTCCGATCACAGCATGCCTCTCCACCTCACCATGAATGTTTCCCAGTGTTTTTCAGCTCGTTTACACTAGCACAATGCTGCAATAAGATTTGCTGGACAAACACAAAGCCATGCAAGTCTCAGAAGTGATTTCTGTTCTGGAAGAATAACCAAGTCTAAATTTGGGCTTAATCAGCTTGTCATGTTCATCTAAACAAGAACCACCTCTATTTTAGCAGAAAGATGTGATGTGTAGCTAGCTCATGGCATCATTTCCAGCTCCATCACTATTTCAAACTGATTGTTTTGCATCCTGACCACTGAAGTGACCACTTGCCTCCTACCCTTGCCTTCGCCTATTACTGCAGCAATCACAGAATCTTCTTGAACACTAAGAGCCAGCCCTCGGTCTCTTCCCCAGCCTCCCACTCCTACTTTAACACAGCTGAGCATCAGCAGAGCACTGCAAAGGGCTTTGTGGAAGCTATTTGGTGAAGAATTGACAGAAAGCAGCACCAGCTACTTGAGAGAAAATGTTTTAGTGTTTTTCTAATACAGCAGGACATCAATCAGCACCAGAACTGTGAGTAGTGTGCAATAGGTCTGCATAAGCAAGGGTCACGTATTATATTACTCACAGGGGTAGTCCTATAGAATTAAGATAAGTGTTTTAATGAATATGTACCAAGAGTACATGTTCACCCGTGGACGCTGTAAACATTTACGTCTACTTAAAGTGTTTTAGTTGGAAACTGTAAAAGCCTTAACAATAATACCTCACATAGAAGTGGCTGACAGCCCCCTTTGAAAAAACCCACAGCCCAATTTTTTTTTTTTTAATTGATGGCAGCCTTAACAAACAAGTTTTCAGTGAGAAGGGAAAAAAACTATTGAATAAAGGGATGACATTTCAGTACACTTATGCAGAGGTATCTCAAAGTGAGGTGGAGGTAGCCAAGGAGACTGAACTTTAGCCTGACCAAAAGAACCAGCACAAGAAACTCAACTACAAAGAAGTGAACAGACACACATTATAGAGAAGGAACTAAATCAGAATGCTTACAGTTGTAGTCAGAGTTAAATAGCCTCAATATGACTGTGTTTGTAACACAAAGCTTTCATACTTCCCACATTAACTAAAAGAGGTCAATCTCAGGAAATAAATCAAAGGCTAGAAAGCTTTAAAAAAAACCAATCACTTCAGAAAAAAAAAAACCTAGGCCAAACAAAACTTAAGAGATACCCGAGCACCATCACTAACTGAAAATGTTACACAAAGGGGGTTAAAGGTGTCCTAAATCCATTATCCCAGGACAGCAGAAATATTTAAACTCCAACACTATCTACTAGCAGACTGAAAACCTGTTGGTCTTCGACACTTGCACCCTGCGCAAATGACGACCGAACTACACAGGCTCAGCCCACAGCACAGAGCACCTACGGGCTGTTAAGTGGCATTTATCAATTCAACAGTACTACCAACAATTGTTTCTGCTTTACAGACTACAAAGCATCCTATCTTCTCATACCCTGATCATCAGGCAAAGGAAATGGTAACTGAAAGTCAAACAGACAATCCTACCAAATACCAAGTCCTTCTGTCCCTGTTGCCCCCCCCCCCCATTTGTGTCTCTTGACACTTAAGACCAGCAAAGACCATAATAACCAGTAAATCCCTGTACTGTCTTTACTGCTCCTTCTAGTCCAGACTAATTCTCCCCCTAGCTTCTACAAGTAAACTGAATTCTCCAGCTCCCTCACACTCTCTTCAACACCAACACTAGCAGTGGAAAAAAAAAAAAAAAAAGGCCACACAGGTGCATTACCACTGTGGCTGGATTTGGCCTCCACTGTATAATAACAAACTATAAAAAGTACCTTTACCAGCAACATTCCCCAAGAGCTGGGAATCAAAGATGCAAAATAACCATAAAATGCTCTGCTCTGAGGGGGAGGGAGAGGCAAAATTTAAGCCATTATTTACACACACAGTAAAGAAAACCTGGAGCTACAAAGATGAAGACAAGGCAGATGCACTTTACCAGTCAAGAACAATTCAGTCTCAGTAAGACCAAAACAAACATGTCAGGAGCATGCATGCTAGAATGACATGCAAGAGCAACTAAATCCAAATTCAAAACAGTTGCAAGATAACAGGAAGTTGTTCCTGCTTGCTTTTTTCTAGAGCCTGTGAAAATCCTGTGCCTGTATGTGTTCAAACTGGAAGGCACCCTTTCCTGCAAGGGGCAACTAACTTCCAAAACTTCTCTGAAGCGTAATAGGCATTATTAACATAAAAAAAAAAAGTCACTCTTAGCTGGTAAAGTCTAAGGGGGAAGGGAAGATTTAGAGCTTACAGAAGAGATCCTCCTGCCACATACTGTGTATTCACCCATTCTCACATTAATCCAGTAATAAACATTTCTTGCAGGTCTGAAGCAAAATGCAGCTGCACGCTAAGATGGCTGCTTACCTCTCCATCAGCTTCTCTTTATCCCAGTTGAAATGGCTAAGCAGTATTCGAGTGATAGTTGCTGGATTCTAGAGAAAGAAAAGAAAAACAATAAATGAGTAACTGCTTGACCAAGTTGGTATACTGTTATGAGATCACCAAGCAGAGGTTTGAATAAACAAATGGGGAAATCAGTGTGTCTAATAACGTAATCTGTGCAGACAATACATGTTAACTAACATATACTGGAAAATAGCTTGACTTCAACAGAAAACTTTAAAAAACTCTATAAAGCAAGATGACTATATAAAATGAGAATACGGTTGAAGACTTAAGGAACTGGTTAGATACTGCTACCACAACAGATGCTTGAGTGCCAACATTTCCATGTCCAGTGTACTTACACAATGTTAACCCAGGGTGTTTGTAAAATTCAGGAAGGGCTAATTGCCATCCATCCTACCCATTTTTGCCACAACCTCCACACTATTTGCAGAACATGAACATTCCTTGTTTGTCCCAGCCACAACCACCAGAACACCTGGGCTGAAAACTCTTTCACAAAGTAACTGGCTGCCAGTGTAAGATGACAATGTCCTTTGAAGTCTCCAAACATTCCCAAAGCACACCAAGATTCAGAAGATACTATGCAATTATACAACTAAGGAAAGAAATACAGCCTAGAAAGGTCAGAAATAGAACCGGAAATAAAAGCTGGTTTTCACTTGTACACAAATTCTTCTTCCAATTAAATCTGTATCGTCAGCCAAGGGCTGGGTCATATGAGAAACATAACAAATCATATGGCTTCTGTTACACCCCAGAACCATGTTTTAGCTCCCTAAATCCAAACTATCTTGGCTCAGTTTGAGGACCATTTGCATGCAACAGAGGCAACAGTGAGCATCCTGAAAGTGGCTATACATTCTTTGGCATTTGATACCAAAATGGAAGTTTGCTTTAGGGCAAATTTTCAATGGACGCTCTGAAGCTGTTGAAAAGTAGGACATAAACTAGCAATGTGATTTTCTGAGCCTGCGGGCTACAGCTACAACTTGAAGCTGCCAAAAAGTCAATCCTGCCACCCAGAGCAGTGATTCCACCCCATCC